AGAAAAAGGTAGATCTAGGGCCTAATTTTAAGACTGTACATTTATATAAAAGTAATAAATTGAAAACACGTACTTCAAATATTCAGCAAGATAAAAAAGTGCAGAAAAAATAATATGATGTGTAGACTATGGATACTTCGTATTACCACTGTAACAAAAAAAATTAATGCTTGTGATAGTTTGATGTCTCAAAATTTTCTGAGTGACGCATGCGCAGATGGTTAATCCCTCATTTACTTACCCGATACGAGAACGACAGTGCTCCCAAATTAAAATGTTGGATATTGATGAAGAATTGTAATAACTCTTCGATATTGCAGCCTATGTTCCATAATTTTCATATCAGCACATAAATTAGTTTAGTAATTGATCTGAAATAACATAAGAGCTGTCGGAAATAGTGTCTAGTCGTTATGGAATTTAAATCGAGGCCACCGCCGTTGTTTGAAAAGTGCTCTGTGGCTTGATCGTGATAAATGATTAGGTAAGAACATACTGAATATCTCGGTTAAACGTTCTTTCAGTTTTTTATATGCATATTACTAAAAGAGATACATTTTCCATGTTTGTTTTGTATAACTCCACATTAAAGTTTTCATTGTAAGGCAATTTTAGAGGAAATGTAGAACTGATTCGGTCAAATGTTTACATCTCCGTCTACCGTAGTACCATAGAAGTAGAAGTAGGGGATTTTTCTACTTCTCTGATAGTACCAAGTACCAATATTAGGTTCATGCCAGACCTAAATGATATTCTTTCTCAGAAGTTGCTAAATTTAAGGAAATGTGATAAAAAAGGAGTGCTAGTTGAGAAAACATAGAAATCCCTTTGGAATGTTATTTGGTTAAATTATTAAAGGAGAAGTGAAATTGTTAAATGGTAAAATGAATACTGGCTTCACACTTGGGTCAGTTTCATAGCCTGTTTGGGAGGCTTTTAATCTGGCATAGTGAATACTAACCAAATGCTACATTTTGGAAGTTAAACTAAGAAAATATTAATTGTTTTTAGTTACATTTATCATTGATTTGACTGAGAGAAATTATATCCTGAGTGATGTGATTCTAAAAAGAGTAACATCTCCAAAGAACATCAGTAAAGAACTATTGAGGGCACAGGCTCCATTCCAAGGAGCATTCGAGGGCAAAAATTATAGAATATTCTAACATTTCTACTTTTTAGTTGATTCCAGTTGGATGATTCAACAAGCAAGAGTATGGATTCAGGCAGAGCAGGTGCTCTGGTGGAGTGGGTGGGTATTTTCTTTTCAACAAGAGAAAAAGTATATGCGTTCAACCATAATAAAACAGACTCAGTGAGCCTTGTTTAAGAATTACAGTAATACATAAAGCTAGACATATTTCTGTGCAAATAATAAGTATTGAGTATTGGGAAATGTCTGAAGTCTTTGGGTGTTAATAACAATCTCCACAAGGTAGCTGTTACCAAACTTTATTTTTATTACTTGTACATTTTATTTGAAGGTAAACTCCATAGATGGCGCTCCATGCATAGAATCACTCAGTCAGCTGAATGATGGAACTTTGTTTATCAAATTGTTGGAAATAATGTGAGTGGTATACAAGATGTTATAAGGTTATATTTTTCTAGAAGCAGTTGCAAGTTTTATTTTTCTGTGAATAAATAAATTATATATTTAGATTAATAGTTCCTAACGGCCAGTCTAAGCTATAAAAGTTGTAAGCACACGTTGTTGAAATGCTTCTTGTATTTTTGATTTATTATGAAACTTTGTACATAGTAACCTGCCTAGGATATATTCTTTATTGAAGCTTCATCATTGTTATTGTAAGGGTATTTGCTAGATGTGGGTGGTTTCATGATCACTTGCACAGTCTGTGAATATGTTTTTATTTTTGTCTCAGAGTTCCTGACACCATACCATCAGGGCTTGAGTTGAATTCTGTTGAAGAGAGACTTGAGTTTCTGAACAAAATCATCTCAGATGTCAACAATACCAAAGTAGAGGAGAAGGTGAACTTCAGGGCAATTATTGACCAGGCAGATGAGTTTGAAATTGGCAAAGTAAGTATGTGTATTAAGTATAGCCTGGTGTCTCAATAGGAATGTAAAAAATTGCAGGATTTAAATTCCTGATACTTTTTTGCATTGGCTATCATTCATGTACAGCTGTCATTTATCAGATAAATTTCCAACCCCACTTTGATTTTTATTTTTTGCCACCTTGCATATTTGTTTAACCAAAGCTATTTTTTCTTTCCTTATTTTAGCTTTGTTCATTAAAGGTGGCACAGATGGGATCATAGAAATTTGAAAGGCAGTTGCCTTATTTTTGTTTATTATGAAACTCAGAATTACCCCAGGAATAAAAGTATCACCTTTTTTTACAAAAAAAATTCATAAAAAATTTAGTTTGTTATCTCCTGGAGTCATTTAAACCCTCCTTTTTCCTTAAAAAAGGGGGGGGGGGGTCTCATATTTAAGTTGTCCTGTGCTTGTAGGTTGTGATGTTACTACTGTACATAGCCATGGTATTTGGCAACAACCAAGCCAGCTTTATCCAGTCTGCCATGAAGCTGAACACCACCACCCAGGCCGCACTTAAGGACATGTTGGAGGTTTTCATGGAGTCCTCAGACCACAAAATACCACCTAACTTTGCTGATATATTAAAGTGCAGTGTAACCTTGCCAGGTATTGTATCTGTTAAGTGAAGTGTTTTTCTTTACTGTTTGCTGTGTGATATAAGACCTTTAGAGCCATCCTTGCTTAGATATGGAATAGATACCTGCTGTCACCAGATGAAAACACAAAGGGAACTGCAGTCTGATATTGAACTTTATATCTTGCATTGAACCATTATGGCGAATTGGTTGTGATGGGGGTGAGGGGGGGTGCGCAGTTCTAGCTAACAGGTTGTCATTACAAGTATTGTTTGCACACAGACTCTGTTTTAGAGTCACAGGTAAGTATGGCAAACTGCACTGTGATGGTAATCTCTAGCTTCCTGGTGACATTAGGTAGATTATTTGTGGCTACATTTTGTGAAAGGCTAGTTTTAATCAGGATCGAGTTAATTGCTGCTGCACTTTCCTCAGAAAGAAATGTTTGGAATCATTAAGTAAGGATGTGACATTGGTCCTTATTATGCCTTTTGACTTGCCTTCAATGTGCCCAAGAAAGCTGGTTTGATCAATGCCAAGATTTCTAAATTTATTTATTTATTTATTTATTTATTTATTTATTTATTTATTTATTTATTTATTTATTTTACTGTGTTGTAGATTCAGTATTGAGTGTTTTTGGTGTTAGTGGTGTTTAAAGTTTGTAGCTTTTCTTTCTTGATTTAGATACAGAAAATGTGTGATCTATCAAAACTTTGCATCATGTGTTCACCTCTGTGCTCAATCTTGTTTATTGAATAAAAGATCTGAAGAAAAAGACATGCTTAAAAAAGTGAGCATAATATCCATTGTTATGATTTAAGAGTGAACAGATGTCTTTATCACTGTGCTGCAAAGTTTTGAAATTTAATTTTCATAAGTGCTGGTCCATACAGAATGTGAAGGGTTGGAAAAAGTTTTTAAATAGGTTTTCTCAAGTTACATATTCACTTGGTATCTTTGAGAAGAAAAAGACTTTGAAATGTAAAACATAGGTATATTGCCCTTCACATTCTCTTTTCACAATTTTCAAAAGGACCAGCTCTCGAATTGACTATCATTTTCACCATTTTAACTTGCTTTCAAAAGCACCTAGCAGACGCGTCTCGTCTCGTCTGGATGACGTGTTTGTGTCCGCGCCTGTATCATCTGTCTCAAGGGGGAAGGGACGGGAACTGCGAAGGTCCTCCTCCTGTTGTAGTCTGCTTAGCTCTCGAGGTTTGCTGTGTTCTTGTGTTGCTACTTGTAAATGTTTGATTCATTTCCACTGCAATTTATTAATTTGTTCAGAGGTGTAAATTTTTCTTCCTTTTACTTTAATTTGAAAAAGTGAATTTATGAAAATTTTACTGTTGATTATAGATTACTGATGATTTATATTGCAATAACACAAATAATTTATGTTACAAAGCTTAGTAACACTACAATTAAATATATTGCCATAATTATAAATGGTTTCATAAGGTAATATGTATAACATTAATATTTTTAATAAAATCATCAATTTTGAATCAAGTCGCTTAATTGAAAGCCGAAGAAGTCTCTTTGTCATAAACATATCCGAAATGGCACCTTCCAAAAACTAGAGAACCCTCACATAATCAGTTTTCTTATCCACAAGACTGTATTTTGCTGTTGTAATTTTTTCTGTTTTTTCCCCCACCCCTTTATCCAGCCAGCATCAACTCTTCCATGGTGGTGTCCCCTAGCCCCCTGGCCAGGGCTATAAGCATGACATCACTGAAGGGGGCGTATTCTCCATACCTGAGCCATGTGTACTCCAGTTCTCCACAGTCCCCTCTCAAGGCTCTGGTGGACTCGCCCCAACTGGCACACAAGGTAAGAACAGGCATGATTGGTGTATTGATTTTGTTTCTAAGTTATCTGATCACACACTCACAGGCACACTCACTGTGTTCTTTATTTTACTTCTATAACAGTTTTTGTAGTGAAACAATAAAACTGTCTGTTTTGATCATGGTTCACAAATCACTCAAGGGGAGCCTCACAAGTGGGTAATCAAATCAAGACTGACAACTTTAGTCAGTACTCATCTGTTATGAAGTGTATTTGCAAGTATTTTGTATAAGTGAGAAAGTGGATGCATTTCTTTTTGTCAAACATTGTTCACATAAGAGTTTGTTTTATCATTTCTAATCACATGCCAAAACATTCATTTTTAATGTGCTTCTGTGACAATCTTGTTGTAGATGGCTGCTATTGATAGGGAGAAGCTGAAAAAGCAGGAGGTGATGACCCTGTGATAGCTTGCTGGTCTTTTTGCTCCCTTATCCTCTTTGTCGCATTAAAAACACATTCATGCACGCACATGCACCCACACTAATTTTACTGCATGAGGTGACCTATTGTGAAAAACAAGCCAACAAAACAGAAAAGATACCTTTGCTTCTGGTGCAGGTTTTTGGGTGATGCAGTAGCTTTGTTTGCAATAAGGAAACTTTATGCCATAACCTTGTTCTATTATCCTTGGGTTGAAAATGTTCTGCCTCCCATTTAAGTTTCCTCAGTAATGTGATTCTTATCCCTAATTGTATACATGTTGGTGATGGTGAAAGACGGGAAATATTTTCTTTTGTGGTAGTGGTGGTGGTGTCTAATGAGGCTTTCTTGGAATAGAACTGTTTGCTTACGCAGGCTTATATGGATATTTTCCTCATGTTTCTGGACTCCGTGTAGGATAAATTCTTAATGGTGATATATCTTAAAGATGAATCCAAAATTGTTTTGCTTATAAGCATGGGTTTTACTGCATTATAATTTCTTGGTAAACTTGACCCACGTTACATAGTATGAAATAATGTACCAAATGTAAAGTGTGATTTTTTAAACGGTATGAATTAAAATTCTGTATTTCACATAGTTTTAAGCAATTTTTTCACAGTGGTATGAATGTATATTTTGCCAAGCAAAAAAGAAATTATTATAGATGGGTGAATGTACATATAAATTAGTTTTAATTTAGTTTTTAACTTATTATCTTATTGATGTTATTTTTATAAGAACAGCCTCATGTTAGATAAAGAAATTTGCTATTTACAGTACATATACTGAAATGCTCTAGTTTTCAAAAGATAAACATTTTTTCTTCAAATGCAGAGACTTCTTAGACAAAAAGAACAGGAAATCAAGCGCTTGGAAAGCCTCTTGAACTCAGAAATTCATTTGAAGTCTGAACTACAAAGGGATTTACAAGAGAAGAACAAAGAAATTGTGCTGTTTGGTGAGTTTTTTTAGCAATGAATTTATGATATTTTGTTTAATTTATTACTTATTTTGTAGACAATTTATGAAGAGGCACAAAATGCTTGATAGAGTGATGGGGAGTTAATATTTGTAAACTTTTGGTCCAGTTATTTCTTAATCTGTGGCTATTTCTATCACTCATAATTCTTTCTGTGAATTCTAGAGGCAAAATGCAAAGAAGTGGCCAGGTTGCAACACCAGCTTGTCTTGGCGCAGGATGACTTGGATCACATGAATGCACTGAGGGAAGAGGCAAAAAAGACTGAGAACGAATTTGCACGGTGAGAGTTTTGATATGTTGATCAGACTGATTTATGAGTTGACTTGAAGTTGTGTTTTTCAATTGGAAAAACAAACTTACTGACATTTTCTAATCCTTTGCCTTTTTTTGTCTTCTAAGTTAAATATTTTGAAAATAAGCAAAAAGTAAGAAACAGGCTTTCATGCTAAAAAGTCTGGGATGATTCAAATGAAAAGTATTTCTCCCCAATTTTTGAATTCATGGCACTAATGGATTCAATGGATTCATGGCACTAAACTGGACTTTCTGTGTTAATTTCATTTTATCCTAACAGGTTGAAAATGCAACTGAGTGCACAGAATGATCTGAAAGAGAGAAACAAGAAGCTGGAAGCAGAGACAACAGAGCTGTATGCAGAGCGGGCTTCTTTGAATGAGGAGGTGGGTAGGGTGGGGTCAAGTTTAAGGGTCACATTAATGAATTTTAGTATCAGTCAAATATCCACTGTGACTCTAATGCATCACTAATAAGAGGACAAATGAAAACTTTTTTTAGATTGCAAAATTTTAAGGCAGCTCTGCAAAATTTGTTACAAAAAAATAAAATAAAGTTCAATTGTCATTGCAGCTCAAGCGATGTCAGAGCCTCCTTACCACCACGCAAAACCAAAAAGAGGCTCTGCTCAAGACCGAGGCCCAGATGGGGGGCACCCTTGAGGCCCAGAAGCAGGAGTTGCTCTCCTACCAGCGCCTGTATAATGACACAAAGGTTCAGTTGACGGAGGTCCAGGGGCTCTACCAGGAGGCCACGCTGGAGCTGAAGGTGGCCAGGGAAAACATGCAGAATGGTATGACCACGCACTTCTTGATGACTTTGGTGCACGGTTTGAGTAATTTATATATAGATTGATAAGGGTCATTTAAGAAAAATGTGTATTATTATTATTATTATTATTATTATTATTATTATTATTATTATTATTATTATTATTATTATTATTATTATTTATTGCAGGGGGAAGGGTGAGGATTTGTCACATAAGGGAATTAATGACAAAATCTATCCCCAATGACATGTATACCAACTATATGATTCTGTACAAACCATTTCCTGGAAAATTTGAGATAATTAGGGTATATAAGTATTTTTAAAACGGTGAATATGAAATCTTTTATTTGGTGCCTATAAGAAGTTTTGTTCCTTTTCCCTTTCAGCACAAACATTTTCTGAAGGTGAATGCATGACCATATTCACAGAGAAGAGAGTCATGGAGTTACAGGAGGAGCTGGCCAGCTGGAAATCACAGGTTGCTGGACTGAGGACAGAAGTAGAGGCTAAAGAGCAACAGCTGAAAGAGGCAGAAATTGAAGCGGGCAGAAAGCAGTCAGACATTGAGCTCCTAAGGCAGGAGGAAGGTCAGCGCCAGCAGGAAATTGCCAGTCTGTACCAGAGCCTGAATACGTTGAAAGCCAGTCAGGCCAAGGGTGAGGCAGAAATCAGGAAACTGCAGCATGGGCTGGAGTTGAAGACACAACAGGCGGAGGATACAGAACTGCGTGCCAGCCAACACGTCCGCGAGATGGGAGAGAGGTGTGCTGAGGAGATACTGGAGGCCAAACAAAGTCACGAGCAGAAAGTGGGTCAGTTGCAGAAAGAGATTGAATCCCTGAAGTCTGAGTGCTCCAAAGCAAATGGCCAGATCAGGCAATTGGAGGGAAAGCTTCAGATTAATGAAAAGCAGATGACATACACTGAGGAACAGGCGAGCCACAGAGTTACGGAGATTGAGGAGAAATACGTGTCTCAGTTGAAAGAGGAGCAGGAGAGTTACCAGCGTAGAATGTCACAGCTGTACCAGGACATCGAGGCTCTGAAAACTAAACTGACCAAGGCGGAAAATGACAACAGTCAGCTAAAGGAGACATTGGGTGCCAAAACTGAGGAAATGGAAACAGCTGAAAAGCTTTCTTCTGAGAGGTTGGCTAAACTGGAAAAAGACTACAGCGGCAAGTGTCAGCAGCTGGATGCTGAACAGCAAGCAGCAAGTGAGATACTTGCTGAACTGAGAGAGAAATACAGTGCCAAATGCCAAGAGATGGAGGAAGCTGAAACACAGGCCTCTGAGAAGTTGTCTGCTATGGAAAAGCAGTGCAGTAAGAAGTGTCAGGAACTTGAGACAGAACTGAAGCAGGCCATGGAGAAAAGGGGTGAGATTGAGAAGCAACACAAATCCGAGTTAGCTGCAGAGAGGCTGGCACACCAGAAGACCGTCGCACAGCTGGAATCACATCTTGAGTCTCAGAAGACATCTTGCTTCTCTTTGGATGAGACAGTTGCCCAGTTGAAAGAAGAGCTGGTGAGATCACGCCAGCTGGTTGTAGAGAACAGTGAGAAGTATGAAGCGCAGCTTAGTCAAGAGAGGGAAGAGCACTCTGCACAAGTGTCAGTACTGAGGCAGCTGATTGAAGAGGCCAACTCCAACCACGATCAGGCTAAAGCACAGGTGACCCTCTTGCAAAGTGAATTAGAAAAGAAAGTGCAGGAAATGGAAGCTGCTGAACTCTGCTACAAAGAAAAAGTGGATACTCTTAAGAAAGAACGCGATGAACAGATTCAGAATCAGAATGACATCCACATGAAGGAAATGGAGACAGTTAAAAAAGAAATGGAGACTTTGAAGGAACAGTCTGAGGCTGCAGTGTTCAAAGTACAGGGGTTGTTGGACAGTAAAACACAGGAGTTGGAAAATGTCCAGAAACAAGNGAAATCAGGAAACTGCAGCATGGGCTGGAGTTGAAGACACAACAGGCGGAGGATACAGAACTGCGTGCCAGCCAACACGTCCGCGAGATGGGAGAGAGGTGTGCTGCGGAGATACTGGAGGCCAAACAAAGTCACGAGCAGAAAGTGGGTCAGTTGCAGAAAGAGATTGAATCCCTGAAGTCTGAGTGCTCTAAAGCAAATGGCCAGATCAGGCAATTGGAGGGAAAGCTTCAGATTAATGAAAAGCAGATGACATACACTGAGGAACAGGCGAGCCACAGAGTTACGGAGATTGAGGAGAAATACGTGTCTCAGTTGAAAGAGGAGCAGGAGAGTTACCAGCGTAGAATGTCACAGCTGTACCAGGACATCGAGGCTCTGAAAACTAAACTGACCAAGGCGGAAAATGACAACAGTCAGCTAAAGGAGACATTGGGTGCCAAAACTGAGGAAATGGAAACAGCTGAAAAGCTTTCTTCTGAGAGGTTGGCTAAACTGGAAAAAGACTACAGCGGCAAGTGTCAGCAGCTGGATGCTGAACAGCAAGCGGCAAGTGAGATACTTGCTGAACTGAGAGAGAAATACAGTGCCAAATGCCAAGAGATGGAGGAAGCTGATACACAGGCCTCTGAGAAGTTGTCTGCTATGGAAAAGCAGTGCAGTAAGAAGTGTCAGGAACTTGAGACAGAACTGAAGCAGGCCATGGAGAAAAGGGGTGAGATTGAGAAGCAACACAAATCCGAGTTAGCTGCAGAGAGGCTGGCACACCAGAAGACCGTCGCACAGCTGGAATCACATCTTGAGTCTCAGAAGACATCTTGCTTCTCTTTGGATGAGACAGTTGCCCAGTTGAAAGAAGAGCTGGTGAGATCACGCCAGCTGGTTGTAGAGAACAGTGAGAAGTATGAAGCGCAGCTTAGTCAAGAGAGGGAAGAGCACTCTGCACAAGTGTCAGTACTGAGGCAGCTGATTGAAGAGGCCAACTCCAACCACGATCAGGCTAAAGCACAGGTGACCCTCTTGCAAAGTGAATTAGAAAAGAAAGTGCAGGAAATGGAAGCTGCTGAACTCTGCTACAAAGAAAAAGTGGATACTCTTAAGAAAGAACGCGATGAACAGATTCAGAATCAGAATGACATCCACATGAAGGAAATGGAGACAGTTAAAAAAGAAATGGAGACTTTGAAGGAACAGTCTGAGGCTGCAGTGTTCAAAGTACAGGGGTTGTTGGACAGTAAAACACAGGAGTTGGAAAATGTCCAGAAACAAGCTCTCGTGAAACAGCAACAAATGGACTCAGAGATGGAAAATGTGAAAGAGCAGTTGGAGAGTGAGATTGCCCAGCTCAAAGAACAACTGGAGATTGGGTCCCGGAACATGAGTGATCTAAAACAGCAAGATGATCTAAAACTGCAGAAGTTAGAAGCAGAATTGGACGCTTTGAAGCAGGAATCAGAAAGGGAGACTGCAAGGTTGGGGAATTTACTGACCAGCAAAACTCAAGAAATGGAAAAACTCAGACAAGAGTTAGAGTCTCAAGTTCAGAGGTTGAAACAACATCTCAGTGACATGGAGGAAAAGCATGCTGACAAAATTAGATTGGAAAATGAAAACTACCAGCAAGCAAGCAGACAACTTGAAGAAATGGAGACCATGAAGACCTCGGCAGAGGCAAAAATCTCTCAGTTACAGAGTGATCTGGACAATAAAACTCAACTACTTCGTGAGACAAAGACTGAATTGGGTGCCAAGATGGCTGAGATGGAAGGCAGCTATCTTACTCAGATTAGTAGTCTGCAAACCAGTCATGAGGAGAGCAGGGCACAGCTCAGTGCAGAACTGACAGCTGCCAGAGAAACCATCTCAAGTTCAAAGCTGCAAATAACTCAGCTTCAAAATGCTTTGGATTCCAAGACCCAGCTTATAAAAGAGCTAGAGAACAAGTCCAGCGAAAGGGTGGCGTACACTGAGGAAAAATACATCTCCCAGCTATCCAGGCTTGAGACTGACTTTGAAAAGCTCAAGGATCACTACGATCAGTCCCTGGAGCAGATTAAAACCCAGCAGGCCAGTTTAGAGGCCAGAGGTCAGCTGGTGAAGGAGACGGAACTGCGGGCCAATCAGAGGCTGTGTGACATGGAGCAGGAGTACGAGGACCTCTTGAAGAAGGAGAAGGACCGTCAGCAACAGAGAGTCAAGGAACTGGAGCATGAGATAGAGATGCTCAAAGCAGACTATGCTAAAGCACAGGTGAATTTTCTGATTTATTTTCATTATCATATTTTTCTTTTTTCTAATATGTTGTCAGTTGAACATTGAAAGCCTACATTGCAGTGGAAATGTAGTATCTTTTCACAAAAAAAAATGATTTGCTTTTATCTGTATATATTTGGTGTGTTTATGTAAAGCATGGTGTTGCAAATGTTGTTTCCTTTTTGTGCTGTATATTCAAGCTTGTGTTCTTCATTCAAACAGGTGCCAGTGTGACAGCAATGAAAACTGTTTTATATTGAAGATTAAAGGGATAATAACTCTTCGTTTCGGCCAAAAAATGAATTTTCCTGGAGTAAACAACAATNTACTCTTGAAGCCATAAACTGAAGCGGAGAAATCAGCCTTTTAGTGCTCCCCGGAGATTCCAACGTTATATAATCAGTGAGCTGCATTGGCAAGCTGAGAAATTTAGTTATTTATACTGGTTCAGCCCTCTACTCACTGCCTATGTAACTGTCACTATGTCTTTCATCCATTTTCAACATTATTATTGAACTTTTTCAACCGGAGGCCCCCTCCATGCATTGACAGCAGCCACCATGTTAGTCGTGACGTCAGCCTTCTTCACCACGTGACACCTAGGGGGAGTGCCTTTGCCCATATACGTCTCATCTATATGTCTGCTTTTTAAAGCTTTAATAGATCGTCAGAATTAAGTTCACTGATAAATTCAAAATGAAAAGTATTGTTTGGCAAGTGAAAGCGCGACGTTACTCACAGAATGTGAAAGGCTTAGCAGCAATCTAGTACGGGAAATATACAGCTGCACAGTGGAGCTGCCAATCAAACACATATATGGACAAGTGTGACCTACTTTAAAACTCAGACACGCTACCACAGGGGTAAATCAGCAATGAGGCTAAAATTACGGGTTTATTTGTAAACTTCCATTATTTTAAGATAGGCTGATATGTAGTTGATATTTCATCTATCTAATACTGACAAATTCAGAAAAACACCCAAATTTTGACAATTTACTGTTAATTACTACCTGAATGACTATCAGATGGCTGCCAAAGTTTCTCATAACTCAGACTTGTCAGGACAAGTTTTTTCATAACATCTTTTTCTGAAGTGATTTACCTTTAAGTCACTGATATTCTAGCATACAGAATTGATTAAAAAAGTCTAGAGAGTTAATTTTTTAAAAAATAACACTCCAGAATCTCATGGAAAAAATGCGCAAGACAGCAGCAGACCACCAGAGGCAGTTGTCACAGGCCTCGGCCATGAATAAGTCCTTGAGATCGCAGTTGGAAGACCTGGAAAGAGAGAGGTCTGGAGCAGCAGAACGACTGAGCAGTGAGGTAGGGATAAGAATATGCACCAATGCTGTTTGAGTTGTGTACTCTACTTAATTATTTTATTTCCATTATAGTCTTGTAGATTTGTAAAATTAAGTTAGCACCAGGGCTTTTCCCAGAGAACCATCTAGCCATTTAGCTGGATGGCTTAAAAATTTTGGGTTGGTTGTTTGGGCTTGCTTTGGTTGGACCCCCTGTAAATTAATGACCAAATTACAGATTCACTCTTTGGACTCCATGTACCTTAAATCCTTGGGGGAAACCCCAGGTAAGCATTCATATTATATCAAGTCCACTTTCATCACTGTATGATGCATGCTCATAATTGGAATTTATGGAAAGCATAAGGCAGGGATAGGATTTTTCCGACTATGGGCTGATTTCTGACTTTTTGGGAGCCAAATACATCGTTGTCCTAGTCACGCCCCTGGACCCCATGCCACATTTTCAGACTTTTTGCACTAAATGGCAGTCTGGTAAGGTCAAAGTTGCTTTTATTTTCTAGCAACAAGGACACCGTGCTGAGGTAGAAAAGCTGAAGAAGCAGCTGACTTCAACTCAGAGGGAGAGAGAGGAGGAAGGAGTAATAAACAAAAGACTTGGTAAGTTTTTAGAGACAGTTTGATATTAACAATTATCTTTTGTCCATACCACTTTAGATCTTATTCAATATTTATATATTTTGATGATAATGTACACAATTGTGCCTGCACATGATGGCATTCAAATGATGTACTAGTCGTACATTGTTAGTCCTCTCTTGAAGACTGGTTTTAAAGAAAAGGTAACAACATTTATTTTCAGGATTTATCCTAGGATTTTAAGTCACACTTCTTTTGCAAGGTGCACATGAATTTTGCTGTTAATTTCAGGATGCAAATTGGCACTTTCTTTGCTCCCACTGCGCCTCCCAACACTACTAAGAATAATTATATGCCTTATTTTCTTTTATTTATTATTTTTTAGCTGCATAGATCAACTGTGTCAACTTCTTCCCATTCCCCTATTTTTTGTCTACCGGAAATTCAAAGTGTTTCCATATTCTTTCCAGCCAAGCAGATAAACTCTCTGGAAGCCCAGATAGAGCATGCCAACAGGCAAATCAGAGAACTAAAAGAAAAAGAGGAGAAAAGAGTGTTTGCCACCCCCAGATACACTCCTCATTTCCCTGCTGCAGCCAAAAGTCTATCTAAAAAAGAAACAACATTTGATGGCAGTATGGGTGAGGCATTTCACTTGTATTTTTAAAATAGAAATTTGTCCTTTTTGGCACATGTTGTATTTTATGTGTATGAATTTTTAAGTCTTAAAAGAATTTTTCGGATTGCCCAATTTTTCTTTGAATGTGACCAAGAGGCAAATTAGAAGGAAAATCTTCATGATTTTCCTGGGGCAGTATATACATACCAGATGACTGAAATTTTAGATTCAAAGAATGTTCTGCGAAGACAATACATTTGATAAAAAATGTTTCCTATTGCAAACTTCTTAAACTTCTTATAATATGTTAGCGATTTTACAATATTGGATTGTGTTCCTCATTCCACATTTATCTGTTCAGAATATCTTGATGACTCTCTGGAGGAGAAGAAGCCAATGTCTGTGAATGAGCTGAGAAGTACGTCAAGTGATGAGGACATCAGAAATAGGTATTTTCCTTGCGATATCATAATTGTGGGAGCATCAATATTATTTTGTCATAGTGAGAATTTTATCTAGACTTTGGTGTCAGGACATCATTTTCAGAATTCAAATTTAATAGCCTCATTTGAATGCTATTAAAAATAGGTGGAAATGCAACCTGGTGCTGTGTAGTAAGAACCCTTTAGTTGTCTGTGCTAAAGGAAAAAGTAAAAATCATTGTTTTCTTGCTACTAGGACAAACAGTAAAATGAGTAATTGCTTTACCATTTTTTTGAGCAAAAAAAAAAAAAAAACGGTGTTTTCGTACTTTCATTTTCTCACCAGTATCCCTTCACCACTTTAAGAATTCATAGTTGAAGCATTCCTGGAAACCAACCCAAAATTTATTTTCATTTTTTGCAATTAAAAGAGTTTTAATATTGATTAACTTTTTTCCAGTGCACATGATGCCAGCTTTACCTCAGTGGGAGATGGGTTTGCACACCCTATGACCTTGAGGAGTCACCATCCTGCCAAGAGACTCAGTGTGTCCAGCACAACCAGCTCCAGTTTTGAACCAACGCGGTCCGCTGGTGTGCCTCGTAAGTCATCAGAATATAAAACTGTGCTTTGTCATTTTGTATTTTGACAACTTAGAATTTGATTTTTTTCATTTTATTTTATTTTATATTTTTTTTTTTTGCGATTTTGTTATAATATTCTACACTTTGTGACTTCTGCTTCCCCTCAGGTGGCGCTGGTAACCTATTTGCATGTGAAGAAGAGCCAGACATGGACTTTAACTGGGACAGCCTTAGTGAGCTCCAGAGGAGAAACACCCTGTGCTTGCCACACCTGAGGTCTGCGTACCCCCTCATTACACAGCCCCAGGACATCAGTGAAGACATGATGAGGTCTGGTCTACCCTCCAATGTCACCAGGTAGGCACAGGTGTCAGGTGTAAAGCTGGCAGCTTACTGTGTGAAGTGTTAGTTGAAAAAAAAAAACTGTGACAGCCTATTGTGGACTTGGTATTTTCTTTGTGTTGAGAATGTAGGTATTTAAATTTAAGTTGTACCGATCAAGTTATTTTCCACTTATTGTATTTTAAAGGTTCGTTGCTTGTCAAGTTATACAAAGCATGTTTTGTTAGGTTTATATCAAAACCAATATAAAATGTAATAATAATTCTATGAATTTGGTACACAGTCTGTGTTCTAATTCCAGTGAGAATCTACAGGGTAGCCTAGGTGGAATGTCCACTAGAAGTGGTAAAAAGAGGCAGTCTGGAGAACATGATGCCGGGGAAGACAGAAAGAAAGTAAGTCAGTTAGTAGGTCATATACTGAATTCAATCTTTTTTCATCTGCTTTATGTATATAATATGTGTTTATATCACAAACTAAGAAATATATTTTCCAAGTGGTTTGAAACAATTCTCCATTGATGTAGTGAATTGACGTAAGAAGTTTGAAAATGTGCCTCGGATTTTTTTCCACTCTTCAGAAGATTGTCCCCATGTTATTTGTGCTGCAGAAATGAAATGTTTTCTGCCTTATTTTAGTCAAAGACGGCTAAGCCATCTACCCCAGGGACCCCCAACACTGGGAAGAGGACACCACGCAGTGGACGAAAGTCAAGGACTCCAAAAATAAGCCGAAACTGTCAAGAGAACAAGTCTCAGAAGGTCAGTCTAATGCTTTAAATTATCTCATCTTTTTATTTTTATAAAACTTGCTTGAAGCAATGCAGTTGAAGTATGAAAACTTCGATTTGGAAACCAATACTTTTCTGAGATATGAAAATCACCAGGGTTCTTTTTATAACAAATCTGTTCTTTTAACACTAATGTAACATATCCTCAAAAAGAATCTCTTAATTCTCAGAACATTAACATTAGACTCCTTTTTAACCCTTTATATGGCACCTTATGATGTTTCCTACCATTTATTTTGACATCAAATACTGAACTTTTCTCCCTCATTTCTAGCTAAAGAGACAAACTGGAGCTATAGCTTTTAACATAGGATTTTCCCCAAAGGTGTCTGATAGAAAGAAGGGAAAGATTGGCTCCTCCAGAACTACGCCCACCAGTCAGATCAATCAGGTAAAACAATTGATCACAATGTTTGAAAAGATTAACCCCAGTTGTGATGACAATCAAGCTATTAACCCTGCTTTGCTAGCTGTTAGTGGTAGAAATCTAACCAGTAGTCGCAGCTTAACCAGTAGAACGGGGAGCAGTAGCATGCTTTATGATGGCCACCCTACTGATTATGTGGACAGTGCAAAGAAAAAAGGGCGTTCTCGCAGCTTGCCTTACAAAAGAAGGAAGAAGAAATGGGGGCCGGTCATCCCCATTGAATTAGACCAGGAGATGGAAGATCAGCATGATGATGGAGCCATGGTGCAGGAAAAAATAAGACAAAAATCTGGAAGAAGTGAAAAGATGAGAGGAAATGTTCAGGTGAAATCAAAGCAGTCGGGGCCCACTGTTACTGTGGGAGAGTCTAATGCTGAGATAGGGCCCCAGGAAATGACACTGAATGAGTTTGGAAACATTGCCAGTTGTTCCAGGAAGCCAAGCACAGAGGACAAGAACACAATGACTGAGGGGGTGCAGCCCCAGCCAGAGAAGAAGAGGAAAGTTGGGGTGGTACGCCCCAGTCCTCCAGCCCAAGATGCAATTGGTAACATCACTGATACCAGGAGTAGGCCTGGTCCTGTCGCTGACATGATGACAAGAACTGGTGACACTGGTCATCAGCAGGCTGATATTGTGAACAACGGCACATATAGTCTTGCCAATCTGTTCCGATCTAATTACAGGGAAAACAGGCCAATCTCAAGGTTTGGTAGAGCTAGGACGGCCAGGAGAGCTGAACAGAGTGAGGGGCAGAACTAACTCAGTTACTGGCAATGTTTGGTGTTTGAGATTCAATCTAGTTCATAGGGCTTACTCCTCGGATTGTTTATTCAGCTTTGAATAAAAGGATTCTTCCGTCTCTTTGGCCCTGTGAGGCAATTTACCACTTTTGTTGTTTGTATTAAGATTTTATATTTTAATTATATTTTTTGATAGCAAAGTCCTTTATTTTTCGTTTGTATTAAAGTTAAGCTGTGATATAGATGTACACTTTACACATTAACATTCTCCTTGTTGTTTCTGATTTATATTTTTGGGTTTCTTCATCTGTCCTTTGACATGTCCTGTAATTCTAACATTGGAAAGTCACTTGAGTGTAATTTGGACCGGAATAAAAGAAGCTTTCTTCTGGTCAGTAGGATTGTTTACCCATTTGAGTGTCACCATTTCTGAAAAGATGCTTGCTTTCTAACAATTACAAAATGACCAGTGGCTTGTAACTAAGTATACTAATAGCAGTAGTTTGTTGCAAGAGTTATGCAAAATGGTTTGTGTGTTATAATTGAAAGCTTGAGCTTTGTATCATAACAGGAGATTCATTAGCAGGTAGTAATGGAGCTCTCAACTGAAAGAACTTCATGAATATTATACTGACGTGAGGGTTCTTTATTTTTTTTAGCATTTTAACACAACAGTATTTTTCAGATGATTAAATGAACAAAGCTCAATTTATATCGAACATTAAAAAAAAAATTCCTAATCATTCATTATATGCAGATTTTCAGAAAATGTGATAGTAATTGGAAGTCCAGTATACCTTTTTTCTTTATAAGCTCTGTATTTTTTTAACTGGGGTCAGCACATTGTAATAGCACTTTAGCTTGTTTGAGGATGTTGTGGTTGTATGGGCCTAAGATAATACACAGTAATAAACTCTCTGTCTGGCCCCTTCCTCCACTGTCTTTCCTACTGCCAATATATTTCCCACCATTTTGTAGCCTTCAGAGTCCAAACGCTCCTTGAAGCTTTTCAGTAAGGTAAATCACTTGGAAGGTTTCTGCATGATGTGAAACCAGTTGTACTAACTTTGCCTAGGTTTTAAGGATTCCATTAATCAATTTCAGTTTTATAAAGGGACCTTTCTTGGGATTTTTACTGTCTTGAATTTAATTTATTTTCTCCTTAAAGTGACGGTGCCTATGTCAATGAAATTACTTTCCCTCTTCACAAAAATTGCATTTTTATGCAAAGTGTATGCTGGTCAAGAAAAAGTGTCCTTAAAATGATTTGAGTACTTGTAAAGAAAATGAAAGGATCGCAAATTCTTAGCAATGCCACATCTTTTTTTAAATCCCCCCCCCCCCCAAAAAAAATCCATGATTGGTCCTTTTAGAACTATATATATGTAATTCCTTGACAGGCAGGTTTTGATTGCATGTATTGCATTTTCATGTTCTTTTGAGAATATTTCTAATCCTAATTATTGAATGGCATTTTCTAGTAAACTTTGTGGATATAAAGTTTTATTCATAAAGGGCATGCACTAATTTATTATTGTTCATGCATGCAAAAACCTTCAAATAGGAGAGATAACTTATTTCTACTGAGCCTACAGTTATTGAATAACTGGGAGCATGAAAGGACTGGGAGTATAATTCCATGCATGTCCATATACAGGGATTGAAAATTCAGCTCAATAATTTATGCATGACTCTCTTCCCTTGTTCTGAGATGTTATACTCACTTTTCAAAATGGAAATGTTTTGACGTTCTACATAAACAACTTGAAAAGGCTCACACTAACACGTGAAATACTTGCCAAGATGCTTAACATGATTAATATTGTCTATGAAAAATGATAAACTGTGGTGATTATATTCCAATTTATCGCTGGTGTGGTGAAATATTTGTTATTTGACTTCAACAACAAAAAAGGGGGGGGGTTTACATTAGGCTGTAAAAATTTAATTTTGATGTGTTTTTATGTTTTAACGTAAAGGTGTAAACAAGGCTTTTAATTCCCATACTTTTTTTCTTTTTCAAGAAACAAACTTTAGCAGTGTGGTGTTGTGAACAGAGGTCTCATGATATTTCTTGAACCATCTATCAAGATTCACAAGAAATTAGTAATTTTTATTTTTTTATTTTTATTTTTTTTATTTATTTTTTTTTACTTCCAGGTGAAGAGAAAGCCTCTTGGAAGTTGGAATGCATAAGAAGACTGGTGATGTACCCAAACCCCACAGAATAAAGATTTTATCTCATCTCTGAAGTTCAAACAATGTATTAAATAATAGTTGAGTGTGTAATGCTCAAGATAAAAGGTTATTTTGACTGCATGATATCAATCACAATTTGCACTTTAGGCAATGTTTAATAAAGAAAATGTAAATGTGCCATGTGAAACACTTGATGGATCGCATGTGATTTATGATTTACTAATAGACACAGCATGTTTATCAATATAGGCACAAAGATGAATATTTTGTTACCGAAAACTCCTCTTTGCTTTAAGTATTTAGTGCAAGTATTATAGGGTCCAGCTCAGTACCAAATAAGGTGGTTAGGTCTAAAACATTTTAAAAGATACTTATTGTCCTGGTAATTAAGGATCCGAGTTAACACACATATTAAGTAATACCGTGGTGATGGTTTATGTCTGTGTTTTATTCAGTTAGAGTAAAAAATGTATCATGTCATGGTAATATATACTTCCACCATTGTATTTGATATGGCAATTGTGTAGTGTGTATGTGAAGTGGAATTGAAAGAATGTATGATATGTATGTAATTACATATGTTTTGTTTATATGTAAAAAGAAAAGATTTGCATTGAAACCTGGGAGCTGATTTCACATGCTGCCAGGAATTTCTTAATTTGAGGTTAAAATCAGGTCAGAACTAGCTTCTGATCATATTTTTCTTCTCTTATTTATCAAACTAGACCCAAATCTAGACTTTGTGTGAAACCAACTTTTTTTCATGAAATAATTTGAAATGTCTCCAGGATGTATCGAGTGGTAATAGTGACATACTTGGTCATAGAACTTTAGAGTAATGACATTAATTTAGTTATATTCTTGTTACGACATTTGTACTTGGAGTTAAAAAAAGTGTCTTCACATTTGTAGAAATTGCGTCATTGTCAAGTCCAGTGGAGTATGGGTGGGAGGGGGCTCTAGAGTAGAGGTGAAAGAAGATCTGAATTCACTCTTTGGCTAATTTTGATTTTACTACAATATTAGCGGTGCATCATGAAATATACATTTTCTGGTTCTCCTGGAAGTATCGAGTGACATGAGTTTTGACTTGGATTTGGATATTGTTATGGAAAGTGGTTAGCATGTAACATGGGGGTCAGCTGACATCACTGCAAATGGTATCAGGATCCAGATCAAATGTTGGTTAAAAACTCGTCTGTGCTCTTGAGAATAGTATGATAGAACACAGTTTTGTAAATATGTGTCCTGTAACTTAAATCATTGTATGAATAGTAATTAAATGTATATTTGTTTAACATACCCTAATGTTTGTTATGATTTACTTTGCTTCCTATTTTCCCTAATGAAAAGTTTAATGATGTACAAGTGAAAAATTACGTAGAATGTCGAACATAATGACTGTTTCTCTAAAATATGTCTAGGAAGGATAAGATTGTTTTAAATTTCCTTCCTCTTTCACGTGAACATCCTTTGAAGAGATCCACAACAAAATGTTCAGCACCATTTTCACAAAAAGTTTTAGGACTAGAATAGTGGACTTCAGTTCTGTTGGCTTTGAAGTCAACTCAAACTATAAAAATTAAAATTGCCAACTTTCCATGCCTTTCAGTTTTTTAAAATGCTGCTTGTAGTGTTTGCATTTATAATTGCCAGAAAAAAGTAAAAGTGATTATTTTTAATTGTGTGAAAAATGTGTCAAATATGAACATTTACCTTTTTATTAATTAAATCGTTGCTATTTGTGACCCAAAATTAAGTGTGTTTCAGCATTTTCTATCTTGATATCTGAATTATTCCAGTAATGGTTTTCCCAAAATATTTATAACCATGTTGAGACATCTTTTTGAGATTTTGTAGGCATTTTCATTTTGATTTGAATGTTTAACTTAATTTTTTAAGCTAACATGAAAGTAGTAAATTGTAACCAAAAGCTTGTTACATAAATTTTGTTATTTTTGGGTCAAGCATTTGTGAACAGTTTCACTGATGTGTTATAAGTCTATACACTAAGTCCATTCAGCGAAAGTGTCTTGCAGTAAAATGGATACCACTGAGCCAGAATTAAAGTTCCTAATTTTGGCAATTAAATGTTTCCGCCACTGAACATTTCAGATCTAAACAAATTATTGTTCCAAACTGATTGAATTTTTTGGTGACAATGCTTGGGGGGGTGGGGGGGTTGCAGTTTTCTCAATTTCTCAATTATGTAAGAGAATCGACCTGGTTTTCCAGCAAAAGGTCAGCATTTTTGTAAGACTGTTTTAAAGGTCCTTTAAAAGTTTATTTGATTCATTTTGCCTGTGGAAGACGCCATGGCAAGTTAGATATAAGTTCCTGGAAAATTGGTACCACCTCTTGATTTAGGGACATTCTTGGGTACTCCCATGGAAATTGAGATGTAGCTGGAATGCAAATCTCATCCTGTTTTAATTAACTTGGTAGGTACACCTTACATTAGTTCTTAATGAATTGTATTGATAAATCTGACTATCATCACAACAGTGTATATTCTACATAACCACAAAGTTTTCACAACTGTATTTGGTGTTTTGGGATGTATATTATATAATATATTACCTAATGATCTGATATCAATCCAACTATGTATTGTTTGTAATGAAGACCTAAAACAACTTAATTTGATAGAGCAGATTTGTGATACTTATTCTGGTCAAATGAAATGGCAAGCTATGACCTGTAATGTGGATAAATCTTATTTTGAGATGTGAAGAATGATTTCATGCTATCATTTACAATAATGTACAGGAAATTCAAAGAGCCGCCCAAAATGCACTCAATGTGTGAAAAGACTAGGAAAAGAAATAACACTGATGTTACTTCAGAACTTTGGATTCCACTTCTCTGTGGTGCTTTGAACTCTTTGGAGAAAATGCTAGAGAAGATATGCCATATATAGGTTAGTGTATGTCGTTTACCTGCAATCACTTTATAGTATGACTTTTTTTTTTCTGAAATGCGAAAATTGTATATATTGAACTGTGTTATGTAAAAAAATTATTAATTTTCATTTACCCAAACTAAAGACAAAATTATCAATTAAGGAAAATTCTTACCTTTTTGGTATGAAAACATAAGATGTAAGTTGCAGTTTTCTCCCCTTATATATTGCTTTTCAAATTGTTTTAATTTCTTGAGAAAATCATCAAGTAAAAATTCAAAGTTTCAGTTTATGTGGTATGAAGAGTTCAAGCACCTCTTGGACTAAGGTTTGATAAAGTATAAAATAATTTTATAAGCTTATTTCAAATTGTTGAAAAATAGGCTTGTCATCCACAATCCATTGGAGGTTTGGTGCAGAAATCTTTTGCCTGGAGTATTTAGCTCATGTAAGCTAAATAAGCAAGAATTGCAATAGTGGTAAATAAGCCATTACTTCAATCTAAGTCATTTTGGGGGCTTTTACTAACCCATGTGACCTTATGTATTTTTAAGAGCAAACATGGGACTTAATGACATTTCAGTTTACCTTAAACATAGGTTGTAGAGGTATTAACATGTCTATGTATCCTTTAATATTTACAAAACATGGCACTGATAGTTAAATTCCCATGATGAATAAACTGCAAATAATAAATGTAAATAAGAAAGTTACAATTTGGTCATTAGGAAACATTGTCAGCTTATTTCATAACTTACAAATGAGTAAAGTAGAGATGACAATTTTAATTCTCTTGAGTAGTGTGTACAGATGATTATGTCACATTAGAACTTCAAAGAATTAAGTGGAGAAAAGAGGGAAAAGTTTTTTAATGCGAAAATGTAGTTGAGATGTTCATTGGTGGGGCTGGTCAAGGGAGATTAACCTGCCACATGGAACTGAGCTGGACTTGCTTTACCTGGGCAAGTGTGAATGCAGCTAGGGTTTATAGGCAATATTATGAAGTCGAGGTGCCAAGCTTGAGATAAGAGGAAGCATTACAGGAATAAATCACCATGAAGACATCTTTCCCTAATTGTAATGCAGAGTAGAGGGTTGATAAGTCAGGCGATGTGGTAGTAATACAACAGAGGTACTGGGGGATGGGGGGGGGAGACTTGTACAATTAACCTTAAATGGGCTGAAAAAAAGAGGGAGACACTATAGTGGGGTGATTTGAGACAGGTTTAAAAGGAGGGGGAAGGTATGGCATGTGTGTGAGATTTGGCAAAAAAAAAAAGAGGTGCAACAGGAAGAGTTTGTGGTTCTTTGATGAGAGGTACCAAGGGAGTAGGGCACACATTGTATATTACTTAGTGACATGTGAACAATTTGAACTTAGCATTGATCTTTGAACTTCATTTCCTACAAATTAGGTTATCTGTTATTGCCATTACACAAAAAATAAAACATGATTTTTTATCAGTAGATTTCATTATTTTGTCTTGTGCCACACTTACAGATAATGCTGGAAAATGTGCAATCATTATCATTTATTTCAAAGAGATCAATTCATTTTTAAAGGTGCTTTTTATGGGAGTTGCCTGCCATATGAATTTTCCTCAGGGAGGTGGTGGGGGGGGGGAGATTTTTTCTTACTCACGCATCATTGGTCCACCCATTCCTGCTGTTTATTCCATTTTTGATTTAATGAATTAGTTTGAAACGACTGGCCAGTCAATTAAACGCCATGTCTTCCTGTACATTTCAGAAGAAACTACATATATTGACATCAGCTACTTATGTTTGAAGGGTTTTATAGTTTTTAATGTCTGAAATGGGGAAGATAAGTAGCTTTGCAGGACATGTAGACATAGAAACTATGGCTTCGGGGAATGTCTAAGTTGGATAATTCCTATTTGTTAATGTTTTATATTGTTTTGCATAAGATAAACTTCTAGCAGAATAGGAATTCCCCTCTTTTTTATCAGATAATTATTCAATTAATTATCCTGTTGGGTGTGCATGCACACAAACACATGCACGCACACTATTCCATCATCTGTGAATTACTAGTATACAGGTTTAATATATATCACAAATTAACCACTGCAGTTAACTTCCAGGGGTTGCTCTGACAATATATTATGTATGTTATAATGATAACTCATGATGTAGCCCTTGTATAAGACCTGTGTGTTGCACTACTTCCTGTTGTCACCCTCGCCTGTCTGCCTTGCATATATTAATGTATTGTTTTAGCATTCTGCACAAGCACGCTCAGGTGAACTGTGGGTGGGTGCCACACGCTCCCTCATTACTCCCACTCTGCAGGCGAGAGCAACATGGTTGGACTCCAGGCATAGGTTGATTTTTTCTTAAAGGTAAAAATGGCATAAAAATTAATGCCGTTATGTAATATAGCTGTTGGGAGATTATTTTTTGCACGTTCTTTCTAGAAATTTAGGTTTTGCAAACTCAGATCAAGTTTTTATTGCAATAACTGTGTTTCTAGATAGTGCATTGATTGAATTAAATTTTTATAATAATTCTGAATTCAGGAGAAGATCTAATAATTATTGGTTGATGATTTTTGTTGCAGTAATTATTAGTCAGATATTTATGTTTCTCTGTGAAATTTCTTGAAATGGTCTTCATATTTATTTTCATTTAAATTCTTTTAAGTTGGAAAACGTGAACAACATGAGGTATGACTTATTAGCTGGATGCATCTCATTTGTTTGACGTAATTGTATTTTTAATTTGATTTATTTATGGCAATTTTGGTTTTAGTTTGTTGTTTTGCCATCACTAGATAAATGTTACGATTTGTAACAACAAAAAGCATGTTAAGATAAAAAGAATGTTCATGCAGCAGTTACTTTTCAAGAAATCTAATGGTTTTATCATGTTCATACTATGGTATAAGTTAGGTACTTCAGATTTCTATCTTAATGGCACTGTTGTCTGAAGTGAGTTAGCCAAGGTGCCCTGGTTAGGGCTTATTTTTGGTGAACGGAGCAGAACATCACTTTTTTTTTTCTTTTTTTAAAGGCATGTTGAATGTTTTTAGTTAGTCTTTAATGTATGTGTTAATGGTGAAAAAACTCAATTTATCTGCTGCAGTGAAAATATATTTTAAATGAAAGATGCTTTAGATTCTCCGACCTCATCAAATAAATAAATAAATAAATAAATAAATAAATAAATAAATAAATAAATAAATAAAAGTTGCTGAATTGACTTTCCCCTCTTTTGAAACATTTGAGTTGCATGTAAGTTATTATTATCAGTTAATTTGGACAGGATAATTCTTAAGATGGACCAATCTGAATGTTAGGGGTATCTTAGACTGAACTTGCCACATTAGTGAGAAAGATTAAAACAGATCTGGAAAATAGAAACAAAGAAATGGCAGG